ATCGCACTGTACGTGTGCGCCTGCACGTGGTATTTTGTGGAAGAGCCACACTCAAGGGGCCGCAGTTTGCCGACCACTGGTCTATAGCAAATCTTCAGATGACCAATAAAACTTAGGAAGACAAGGAAGTAAACTTGATTTTTTTTAAAGGCACAAAAATTCAGAGTTCTATCAGTAGACTAGAATGAGTAAACAAAAAAAATCAATTAATTGGAACTGCACGGGGATAAGAATAATATCAGTAGATGCAGGTTCAAAAAAAAAAAAAGAAAGAAAGAAAGAAAAAGAAAAGAAAAAAGAAATACAGCATTCCAGTGAGAAAAGAGCTATCTGCATGTTTGGGGGAGGAGGAGTTTTTCCAACAAGTCACATGTTCACCGTGAGTTAACTCTGTGTCAAAGTTGCTGGAAGAAGTTAACACACTCTTGAGTTATGTTAACAGAATCCTGGTGTTCAGAATAAGAAAGCTAACCAGCCTGCAATGAGCATGCAGAATACATGTGAAGTTCCGGGTGCCGCGTTTCAAATGTGACACTAAGAAAGCGGAGTGTGCCGAAGGCGGGGACCAGGGTGGTGCAAGTCTAGGTCCCCCCGGAGAGCAGGGTGAGGTGTGTCGGCCTGAAGAAGGATGTCCTGGGGTGAATGTGTTTACAGATGTTGTAAAGGACATTTCTTAGACTCTCTGAAGGTCTAAGTAGAACAAACAGCTAGAAGTCAGGGGACTGAATCCATCTTACTGAAGGAAATGGGTGTTGTGTTCAGAGGTGGCCTGTCTCCTAACACTGGAGCTAACGCTGGGCATGTCCACACTGAGGCTGGACGACAGTCAGCCAGAGGTTCGGGGACACAGATGGGTTGTGGGAAGTTGGACCAGGTAGAGATAAAACCTCTTCCAACATTAAGAATCGCTCTAGGAATCTCTCTTTATTCAGGTTAACACCATAAGTCACATCTCTAGACTTGGAATAGCTCTACCTGCCCCTACTCTTCAGCATCGTATTCAACATCTTATCCCGGGGACAATTTTTATAGGGTACAGATGCAAATCAGGTTGAATTCATTTTCAAAGAAATAGTCTTAGGATAAATATCACATAAACTGAGAATATGGTTTTAGAAGTCTCCTACATAAACAGAAAACAAAGCACGCTTAACAAGTCAGAGCAAAGCCTTCTGATACTACTCGAGAGTTTTCTGTTTGGGGAAATAGAACGGTGGGGCGGTGGGAACGGGGAGCAGCAGCCCAGCGCTGCCTCTGACAGCAATCACTGCAGGAAGCCTTTACAAAGACGAACCACACAACATTGGCTCTTTGGGGTGACATTTTAAAATGAGACCTGGTGCTCAAAACAAAGACAGTCAATAGATGCGTACATCATCCTAGTCCTTTATTTAAAAGAAGACACATCTGTCCCAGAATCATGGAAGAAGGTTGGGGGTGGGGTGGGGAGAACTGTCTCACGAGAGAGAATTAGTTCTTATATATCAACTAAATATAGATGGCAGGTCTGACGTACTACCCTGCTATTCTGCACCTGATAGAGCTCTAACGTGGACTGGGGTGACGGGAGGCAGGTTAGCACAGGTGGCATTTCCTTCCCAGGCAGGTTCAGTTACTATATTAGTAGCTGACTTTAAGGGTGCAAAAATCTGAGCACATGGAGAGGTACGTTTCCCAGCAGCGTTTTCTAAATCCAACCAAAAATATGACAACATATCTAATTACAGCCCTCCTAATTTGAGTGCCTCCTACTTGAGCACCAAGTTTGGTAAGAGAAATAAAAAAATATAAATAGACTAAGTGCTTTTTCTAGAGGGTTACTAACATGAAATGTACATGAGACACGCAGTGGTGGGAAATTTCGTGCATAATCCCCAGAATGTACCTAAAACGTGGGAGCTAACAGAATGGATCTTAGAGGGGTTCCTTTTCAAAGGAAAGGTAAAATAAATAAATAAAACCAGAGGATGTGTGTGTGTGGGAAAGTACTCAATGCCTGCATGCTGAAGACTTAAATATCCTTCCTTCCATTACCATACAACTAAAGACTTGCTCAATAACCAGTCCCGCAGAAAGTGTGTTTTTGGGAAATAAAAAGATGGGAAGCCTGTCAGCAAGGACACTGACTTTATCGTGCGCCGAGCCCCATTCACCCACCCATGATTCCTTATACATAGTCTGAAAGGCTAATTATTACTTATTAAACTGTCCAAAAACCTTGGGTTGTATTCACTCATCAAATCCTCGTAACGCCTCTAGAGGCAGGTGAGTAATTATTCCATTTTGTGGATAAGAAAAGTGAGGCGGAGGGAGGTTAAGTGAATTGCTCACCCCCCC